AAAGGTCTTGTTTATTTGGCAGAGAGAGAGAGAAGAAGCAAGGGGAGTGAGCGGCAGGCAGAGGGAAAGGCAGGCTCGCAGGGAGCCTGATGCGGGGCTCCATCCCAGCACCCTGGGATCACAACCTGAGCCACCCAGGCGCCCCGAAATCAGGCCGTTTTCTACACAAATCCAGCTCCCTTCTAGGCAACCAGGGGCTCGTGCTGCACGGCGGCTGCCCCGTTCATGGAACCCTATTTCTCTGAGGACAAGGGTGGGCACGTAGTTCACCTGCGCTGACCCCCTTCCCCACAGCGACCCACTAGCGCTCCCAAAGCCCCGCCCCGAGGCCCCGCCCCCGAAGCCCCGAGGTCCCGCCCCCGAAGCCCGAGGCCCCGCCCCCCAGGCGCGTCCTGGGCCGCACCTGCCCCAGCCCCAAAGAGCGGCTCCGAGCGGTGAGGGACAAGACACTCCAGAGGTCGAGCACAGGAGTGGCCGTCGTGTGGCGTGGCGGGGGGCGGCTTGGAGGGCCACTTTGCTCCCCACCTGGTCTGAACCCCAGCCCAGGAGGCGGGCGGGGAGCAGGGTTGCCCGCGCCTTGTTGGAGGGTTCTCTGGAGTGACCTGTCCCCACTCTCTGCGCCACCAGGGACGCCAGCAGTGAGGCTCGGACCCTCGGCGGCCGTCGGCCCTTCTGGTTTCTGTTGGTCCGCTTTCCCGCCGCTGCGGCCCCTCCCTTGCGCGACCCTGGGCTCTGCGCCGGTGGCCCCGGGAGCATGGAGCCCTTCCTCAGGAGGCGGCTGACCTTCCTGTCCTTCTTCTGGGACAAGATTTGGCCGGTGGCCGCGCCGGACGATGGCGTCCCAGGGCTCCCCCACCCTGCGGCCAGCGCTGAACCAGAGCCCCCCGCCACAGAGCCCTGCAGCCCCCCCGCGCCCCCACAGTTCTTCAGGGCGCTCTACGACTTCACCGCGCGGTGCTCGGCAGAGCTGAGCGTCAGCCGCGGGGACAGGCTCTGCGCCCTCAGAGAGGAGGGCGACTACATCTTTGCCCGCAGGCTCTCCGGCCCGCCCAGTACTGGGCTGGTACCCATCACCCACCTGGCCAGGGCCACCCCGGAGGCGCTCTCAGACCACCCGTGAGTATCAGCTGCCCGGGCAGTCAGGGAAAAGGGCAGGACTGAGTCCCAGGATCACATGTCCAGGAGCCGTCCTGCTTTCCTTCCCTCCCTCCATCCCTCCCTCCTTCTGGGGTCAGGACCCTCCAGGCCTTGCCACGCAGCCGTGGGCAAACACACAGGGGTGGGGGACAGACACCAGGGACTGTGTCCCAGTATAGCTAAGAGGGAATGAGTCCAGCAGGAGCAGTCAGGGCCAGCGGTGAGTCAGCTGGACAGCGTGTGTGCACGCCACTGGCTGGGCGTGCAGCTCGGAGGGCCCTCTGGGGCATGGTCCAGCGAGCCAGGGGCTCCTGATGAGGACATAAGAGAGGCTGTCCAGATGCTGTGAGGGAGGAGGGGGCGACCAATGGGTACAGGGGCTGATGTGCTGAGTCCGAGGGGAGAGCTTGTCTGCCCCCTCACTGATTCACATTCACCCGGATCTCTCCCTGCTGCACCAGGCCAGGTATGGGGCACACTTGGCCTGGCCTTTGGAATTGCTCCCAAAGAGCCTTGTTTCGAGAGGTGCAGCCATTCGCCCCAACATGCCCAAAGCCCCCAGGGCCTGGGCAGTCTACAGGCTGGGCTTAGGGTCTGCAGGACAGGGTGGCCTCCCGGCACAGCTGTGAGCCGTCTCCGCCTGGGCCCTGTCCCTGGAGACAGAGCCCCTCAGCTCTCCCACAGCCTCCTGGGGGGTTTGCACGAGGCATGGGAAAGCCTGAGTCCCAGGAAGGCCCCTTCTGAGGGGACTCCAGCCCCTACCCCTGGCCCAGCCTGCTGGGAGGGGTGGGAGGGACCAGGCAGCCATTCTGATAGGACAGGGGCCCAGAGCCCTCCGTGAGTGGAGGACAGATCCCATGAGCTGCTCTTGGAGGGTCAAAATGGGGTGGTGCCGGGAGGAAGTGCTAATGACTGTTTGCCTGGGCCGGGGATGAAAGGGCTGGCCACGCTGGCTGTGTCATTAGCCCTAGACACCTGGCCGTCTGTCCTCAGGGCTAGACTGGCCGGACAGGGGGAGGACCATCAACCCTGATAGTGAGGCTTCCCCAGTGTCATCCTGGCCGCTGCCCCACCCCAGGGAGAGACTGCCAGAACGTCCCTGGCCCTTGGTCCCGGGGGAGGGCTGGGGATGAGGGCACTGGTTCTCTGTGCGCGCGCAGCCCTGCTGTCCCGTGAAGGGCCTCGGGGGCCCCGCCCCTGGGAGCTCTGCTGGCTGCTGGGCGCCAGAGGGCAGTGCCTGGCTGCCGGGCCCTTGGTGGCTGGAGCCCCGGGGCCTTAGGGGGCTGTACCTCTTGCTCCTAGTCAGTGTGTCTTGAAACGAGTTCGTCAGCTTTCCACAAGCCTGCTGCCCAGCCAGGTCTGCTCTCGGGGACCCGTGTCTCACGTCCCGCGTCCTTGACCCTTCTCTGCCCCGCTTGGCGGTCTTCTCTTCCGGCGTTGCGGGGGCCTCTGCCTGTCTGCCGTCGCCCCACTCTTCAGTGTCCAGCTCTACCCTCTGGGCAGCCCCTCAGCCCAGCCCCAGGCTTGGCTCTGGCCACGTTGGTTCCCAGCCCCTCCCTGCAGCTCTTTATGGGGCGCAACTCGGTGCCCCTCCTGCCAGTCCGCGGCCTCCCCCCAGGCTTCAGCAGCACCCATCCATCCAGCCCCGTCCTTTCAGGGCCCCCGTCCTGTGTCGACTCACTCTGCGTCATGCTTTAGGTCCTCTGGAGTAAGTGCTGGTCCAGCAGCCGAGGGGTCAGAGCTAGCCCCCTGGCCCTCCGAGCCCGGGGTTTCCCCACTTTAGAGGGGACAAGGGCCATGCGCACAGGGCTGTTCCCCGAGTGGTTGAGGCTCTCCCTTGGGGAGCAGGCCTCCTGCCCCAGGGTCCCCAGAATCCACAGGAAGCAGGAGGTTCCAGGCTGGGAAGCCGACTCAGGCGTGGGGTTCCCCTCCCTGGACCTTGGGAAGCAGACACAGGGGATGGGCTGGGGCCAGGAGCCGTCCCGCTCTCCTTCTAAGAGTGTGGAGCCAAGGAGATGCATGTGGTATTACTTGGGTGACCGCAGCCCATGTGGGGTGTCAGCCGGGGGTCCCAGCAGGCTCTCCCCTGTCCTTGTCCATGTGCAGCTGTGTGGGCTCCTGGACTTGGGGAACTCCCTCAGACTGAGGAGCAGGCCCCTGGGAGCCCCTGCTGCCTGGGTGCTCAGAGAGGGAGCATCTCTGTAGATGCGGAGGGCCAGGGGCTCGGGCTGGCCTGCACCAGGCAGGGCCTCTTCCCGGCAGACATGGGATGCTCTGAGCCTCCTCAGCCTCCCCAGAGTCCCTGCCCAGCCTGGCACCGCTGCCTCCCCCAGGGCCTTCCTGGACGAGCTTCTGTCGGCCCCACGGTCCACCTCTCTGCAGGCTAGGGGCGGCTCATCGGGGCCCCCAGGCTCCCGGTGGACCCCCCCCCCAGTAGGGGCTCAGCAGTCTTGAGCTTGGTAGGTCAGCCCCTGGCTGGGGTTGGGTCCTTCTGGGAGCAGGGGTAACGGGCACTCCGGGGCTGAGATGTGTGGACGGACGGTCTCACCAGACTCAGGTCACCGTCAGTGGCAGTGGGAGCTCTGTGTTGGCCCAAGAGGGCCTCCCTGATGACTCCAGAGGTGGGGGCACCGAGGGCTAGGGGCGGATGCAGACCTGGGGCCGGGACCCCTGCCCTGGGCTCTGGGAGCCCCTGGTTCCTGAGCGACAGGGGCGTCGGGCTCGGGCCTCATGGGGGCAGGGTCCGTCCGTCGGCCCGGTGATGACCGCCGCGCCCGCCCTTCGCAGCTGGTACTTCAGCAGCATGAGCCGCGCTCGCGCCCAGCAGCTGCTCCTGTCCCCGGCCAGCGCCCCGGGCGCCTTCCTTGTCCGGCCCAGCGAGAGCAGCCGTGGGGACTATTCGCTGTCAGGTACCGGACGGCTGCTCGAGCCTCTGTCCCCACGCTGACCTCGGGGTCAGTGCTCCCCAGGCTTTGCCGGCCCCACGTCAGGCCTGGGCACCTCACGTCCCTCGCCTGCTCTGCCCACCTGCAGGCTCACTCACCGGCCCCCTCCCCCTTCCCTCCCCTGCCCATCCCCCACCAGGGCTCTCTCCTCACTCACCCTCCCCTCTCACGTCCGCTCACTCTCGGACTCATCCATGCCCTGAGTGTCCCCCGAGTGCCCGCCCTGCGCCCCCCTCACTGCCCCCAGTTGGCAGCTGCCCACACTCCCCACTTTCCTGTGAGGCGCCGAGGCCTGACCTGAGCCGGCCCAGGGAAGGTTGTGGTGCTTACCCGGCCAGGGTGCTGGGAGGGTCAGGGGCAGGCTGCCGCAGAGACGCGGCCCTCACCTGTGTCCGCTCCCAGTCCGGGCACAGGCCAAAGTCCACCACTACCGCATCTCCACGGCGGCCGATGGTCTCTACCTGCAGAAGGGCCGGCTCTTCCCCAGCCTGGAGGAGCTGCTCACCTACTACAGGACCAACTGGAAGCTGACCCAGAGCCCGCTGCTACAGCCCTGTGTGCCCCAGGTGGGCCAGGCCCCGGAAGCACCTCCAGCCCCAATGGCCAGCACACGTCCGGGGCTGTAGCCAGGCAGCAGGCCCAGGCCGGTCTCTGAGCATGGCTGGGGGGTCCGAAAAGGCCTGAGGGCACTGGGAGCCCCGGCCACACCTCCACACCCCAGCCAGGGCCCTGTCTGGGGTTGGGTTTGCCCTCGATGGTGCGGCATCTCCATCTCTGGGGACTTCTGGGGCTGGGGTGGGATGAGACCTGGAGGGTCCCCCAGTCCCAGACCCAGCTCTGCAGAGGGGCCATGAGGACTGGGGACACGCTTAGGGAGGCGTCTGGGAGGGTGCTCGCAGCAGCCACAGGCCCAGGCAGAGGCTGTAGGAGGGGCGCTCGCTGGGCCGTGTGCCCTGGCTCGGGCGGCGGCCCCGCTCTCGGGGCCCGGCCTCCTGCCGCGGGCCAGGCAGCGATCCGGTTGCTCCAGGTGCTAATGGCAGCTGGCCGGGCGGTAATGACTCTTCGTGGTGGGCGTCCGCCCCGCAAAGGTGCCACTTAGGGCCCGGCTTCAGGAGGTCCACACCTGGCTGCCCTGGCCTTGGCCAGGCAGAGGGGCTGGAGGCCTGGCGCTCTGGGAGACACCGCCCCCTCTTTCCAGGGAGCGGCAGGCAGAGGCCCGGAGTGTCCCCCGCCCCCTCAGAAGCCCCCCCAGCAGGACGAGTGGGAGCGGCCTCACTCCGAGTTTGCCCTGCGGAGGAAGCTGGGTGAAGGCTACTTTGGGGAGGTGTGGGAAGGCCTGTGGCTTGGCTCCACACCAGTGGCCGTCAAGGTCATCAAGTCAGGTGGGTGAGGCCTGCTGGCCCCTGCCCGCCCTGCCCTCGGACCCCTGGAGCCCTGGGGCAGCCACAGGGTGGCGTGGGTGGGTCCTGGAGCCGTGTCCTGTCCACAGCCTACATGAAGCTCGCGGACCTCAGCAAGGAGATCCAGACCCTCAAGAGCCTGAGGCACGAGCGTCTCATCCGGCTGCACGCCGTGTGCTCGGTGGGCCGGCCCGTGTACATCGTCACGGAGCTCATGCGCAAGGGCAGCCTGCAGGCCTTCCTGGGGAGTGAGTGGCTGGCTCCCCGCCCCCCGCTGGTGACTGTCCGGGGGGCCCAGGCTTCCGTGCACAGCTGTGACCCTTCGAGGCTGTACCAGGCTCGACCGTCCGAGGCTCAGAGGGGTGTGGTGGGCTCTGGCCCGTGGGTTCGGGCCCCGGGGCGCAGTCAGAGCCTTGTGCTCCGGGTGGAGCCGAGAGCAGTGGGCTTGGGTGCGCCGGTGTCCCCGTCCCCATTCCTGTGCCCCTCCCCGGCTCTGGTCTCTCTGGGGGCCCAGGAGCAGTCACTGCACAGCATGGCCCCTCCCGCTGCGTGGCCTGGGCTGGGGGCACCGCTCTCACCCCGTCTGAGGGTGAGGACACTGAGGCGTGTGGGGAGGTGACAGTGCAGACCCTGCCCCCCTGACCGTCCACCTTGCCCCACAGGCCCCGAGGGACGGGCCCTGGACCTTCCTGTCCTGCTGAGCTTTGCCTGCCAGGTGGCCGAGGGCATGGGCTACCTGGAGGGTCGACGCATCGTACACCGTGACCTGGCGGCCAGGAACGTGCTCGTTGGTGACGACCTGGCATGCAAGGTGGCTGACTTTGGCCTGGCCCGGCTGCTCAAGGTCAGTTCGGGCTGGGGCCCCCAACCCCGCCGTGGCTCAGAGGGGAGGGAGCCACTCGGCCCACCCACCCCTGGTCTCCCCACACCCAGGACGACATCTACTCCCCAAGCAGCAGCTCCAAGATCCCCGTCAAGTGGACGGCGCCCGAGGCGGCCAACTATCGCATCTACTCGCAGAAGTCGGACGTCTGGTCCTTCGGAGTTCTGCTCTATGAGGTTTTCACCTATGGCCAGTGTCCCTATGAAGGTGGGCTGCAAGGGAGCCTGAGGGAGGAGGCAAGGCCTCAACAAGGCCTATGTAGTCTGAGGAAGGAGGCACAGCCTGCCCCGGGGAGTCCCCGATTCCAGAAGGGGCACCATGCCTCCAGGCCACCTGCTGGGCCAGGTCTGGCCAGGAGCTGGGGGGAGGTGTGCACTGTGACCCTGCGCAGAGGCAAGGCAGCCCTGCCCAGCCCCTCTTGTGGCCCCTCTGCAGGACTGAGCAACCACGAGACCCTGCGGCAGGTCACGCGAGGGTACCGGCTGCCACGCCCAGCCCCCTGCCCTGTGGAGGTCTACACGCTCATGCTGGAGTGCTGGAAGGGCAGCCCTGAGGAGCGGCCAGCCTTTGCTACGCTGCAGGAGAAGCTGAGTGCCGCCCACGGGCGCCTCGCCCCTGCCCACACGTGACCTGGGACGCTGGACACGGGGGCTGGGGCCACGCCTCCCTGCCTGGCGTGTCCCCCCAGGACAATACTGGCCATTGACACATCCAGGGGCGCCGGCGGCCTGGAGCGGCCTCTGGCTGTGGTCCTCACACCCTGACAGACGCATGGACTGGCACACGTGTGTGTGGAAGATGTCCCCTCAGACGGGAGGGCTGGTGTCCTCTGCTCCACGGGACCTGGTGTCCCTGGCGAGGAGAGGTCTCAGCACAGCCGTTGGGGTCACGCCTGAATGTTGTCCAGCCATGGAGATTTGCTGGACAGAGAAGACCTGAGCCTGGGCCACGGCCCCCTGCTCACCCCTGCTGCCCCGGGCAGCCCGACTCCTCCCAGGGCCAACAGCCAGAGGCTCCCCAGTTTTTGGCAAAGTTCCCCATGGCCAACGCTGGGCTCCCAGGCCGAGGCGGCACGGGGCCGAGGCGGCACGGGCTGGGCACACCTGCTGGCTGCGTGCAGACCTGAGTGCTCGGAAAACGTGCGGCGACGGACTCAGACCTGCATCGTGCATGGGCCCTCAGCGCCCAGACCCGGAACAGCAGCTGGAGCGGATGGGGAGGTCTACCAGCTGGTCCCTGGAAGCAGAGCTGGCTCCCATGTGGCCCAGGGCCCCACCCCAGGGGACTCTGATGTCCCAGGGAGCAGGACCCCTGCGGGACCAAGCAGCCCACTCCATCTCCCTGGGGCTGGGATTGAAATTGGGGGAGCCTGGGTCAGGCCACGGGCAGGGCAGGCTGCATGGTCATTCCTGGGGCTGGGAGACTCGAGGTCCTTCTCTGGGGGTGGGGTGAAGGTCAGGGGTTCTGGGTCCCGGGTGCTGGCCCGGGGTCAGACAGGGGTGGGGCTAGATCCCATGGTGTTGGGTCAACATGCCTGCTCCTGCTCGGGCTGATTTCAAGCCACCGTTGGCGTCACTGAATGAGGAGCCGGGTGGGACACGCCTGTTCTCACTCACCCAGCCAGCTCCAGTCACCACAAGAGGGACCCGAGGGGCATGGGGACCAGGCAGGTGTGGTCTGTGTTCAGGGTCCTCATCCCCCACCGTCCTGTGACCCCCTGGTGACAGCTGTGCCCCCGGAAGGCTTGTGGGATGGAAGGGCAGAGGCATGCCGAGCTTCTTGTCCCCTGGAGGGAACAGGCCTCTATGCACCGTTTAGGGTCAGCTCTGCACTGCGAGGCCCATTAGCCCCTCCCCTCCCCATCAGCCCCTCCGGCCCTGCCCAGGGGCTGGCACGGGGGGAACTGGGACTCCGCGGTGGGCACAGAGGCTGTGCAGGGCTAGAGTGGTGGGGGGCTTCCTGGAGGAGAAGGAGAGGGTGCCGAGGTCACCACGGGTGAGGGCAACACAGAGGGAGGAGGTGGGCACGAGCCACTTGAGGCCAGACCAGCCTGGGTCAGGGCTGAGCCTCGGGTGCCAGCGTGGGCGGGGCTGGTGGGAGCAGAAGGGTTCGGCCGGCAGCCTGGATCAAACCCTCCTGCCCTGAGAGGGCTGAGGGGCCTCCTGGTGAGGGATGGAGCTGGACGTCCCCCCCGCCCACCCCCCGACACAGCAGCAGTGAGTGTGACGTGGGCCTGAGGGAAGGGGTGTGCTGGGCTTGGGACCAGAGGCGGTGTTGGTGGCGGTCCGTGGTGCACTCCTAGCATGTCTGTCAGCCACAGGCCCAACAGTTTTGGTGCCTGGGCCTCCAGGAGGGGCGGGGGACTTTCTGTCTCAATGCTGTCCCGCTTCCCCGTGTTGCCCTGGCAGAGCCCTGGACGTCTGCCCCGAGAGACACTCCAAGGCCCTGGGCCTGAGCTCACGACCGGGTCTGAGGGCAGGGGTGACCGGAGCACGCTGCCCAGCAGTGAGGGCTGGACACGAAGCCCGGGCGCCATGGAGCGCCCCCCCCAGCCTGCCCCTTGCTTTGCTCCCTGGCCCCTTCCCCACCCTCGTCGTCAATGAAAGCGGCGCCAGGATGATCGCCCGCTTGCTTGTAATACACAGTCCTCTCGATCTCAAAATGGAGCGAGTGGTGCTTAAGTCAGGCTTAGTACAGGATTCCCCTGGTCATCGTCCTCCTGGAGCTCCCGTCATGGGCCAGAGTCCCCACAGCCCCTCAGACGGGCAGCCGAGGACCGAAGGCGCTCACCCCGAGCCCTCTCTATGCCCTGGTCCCCATCTCGCCTCAGGGCTCTTTCTTCTCTGCTGTGGCCCCTGCTGTCCCCCAGCCCACAGCCCCCGTGTGGGCTCCCTATTCCCAGCACCTGTCTGCCCTTTACTGTCCCCTGGGCCTCCAGCCACGACCCTGTGAGCTCGCTGGCCCTCTGTCCGGCGCCATCCCAGAGACCCCGGAGTGTTGGGCAGGGCTCCATCCCTCGTCTCCCCCTCCCACCTCGGTTCCACTCATCCCTGAGCCCCCATCGCTAAAGTGGACCCCAGGAGGGCCCTGTCTGACGGCTTACTCAGTCCTCCCCTCCCCCACGTGGTGGGCACACATCCTGGAGCAGGTGGGCAAGAGCAGTTCCCAGGTGGCCCTGGCCTCAGCGGGTCGGAGGGTCGGGGGGAGCCCTGGGAGTTTGGGCAGCCCAGGGAGGGAGCCCCGGCAGGTGCAGGTGTGGCTGGCCTGGCAGGGCCTCTCCTCACTAGACGTGGGCCGGCCCCTCGGCTGGGTGGGGACCGCCTGTCAGGGTCCGCCCCACCGGCCACGGCTCCCAGCCACAAGGGGTGCTGTGGGCTGCTCAGGAACTGGCTGTGAGGCCAGGAGGCCGGTCCTGCCGTGGCACCCGCCATGGCGTCCTGGGGCCAGGCTCCCCCGGGCCCCCAGTATGTGGGCCTCTGGGACTTGGAGGCCCAGAGGGATGAGGAGCTGACCTTCCGGGCGAGGGCTCTGTTCCACGTGGCCGGGAAGGAGGAGGAGCGGAGGTGGGCCACGCCGCTGGATGAGGTGGGCAGGCCGCTGACCGAGGGCTACGCACTCCACAACTACCTGGCCGAGAAGGAGACGGTAGAGTCTGAGCCTTGAGTGTCCCCGTGGCCCTTGTGGGACCCTCAAGGTGCCCCCCCGGCCCCCTGCAGCCCCTCAAGAGCTCAGGGCGGGGCAGCCCTCCAGACAGAGATTTGTGCCACTGCGGCTGGGTGCTGGGGAGGGGCAGGGTGCTGGGGAGGGGCAGGGTGCTGGGCCAGCCTCCAGGAGGCCAGTGAGGACAGGGGACCCGTGACCCCGCCTCCCCGTGCCCCCTGGCTGGGGCTGGACCCCACCATCCTGGTCCCCCGAGAGCTGACTAGGCTCCAGCAGGGTGACATGATACAGAGCTGCAGGGGCGTGTGGCCCCTGCCCCTGGGCTCCGCCACAGTCACTTTGTGATGACAGGACCCAGAGGGGAAGGAGGGGCCCACAGGAGGCTTCTGGGTGGCCGACAGGGAGGGGGTCTGTGAGGGAGGCCCAGGCAGGGACTGGGCCTTTTGGGGAGCAAAGCATCACTCACCTTCCAAACAGCCGAAACCAGATGCATGACCTAGTTAGAGGAAGCAGGAGGGTCACTGCGACATGCCCGTCTGGGCGTGGGCTGCAGGCTGTCCCATCCCTGCAAGGAGGCGCCTGGAGGCTCGGACCACAGAGGGCAGCCTGGCGTGAGCACGTGCACAGCCGCCTGAGCTCTGGGCCAGGAGGGTCTGGCAGGAGACATTCTGCTGCCCGCCTGCGCCCCTGTGACCCCAAGCTCTGGAGGAGTAACGTGGCAAATGCGTGTGGGGAGACAAGCGGTGCGGTCACAGACAGCATGGTTTCAGAAGGCGGGGTCCGGGACAGGGAACATGCAGAGCATGGCTGGTGCAAAGGCCCTGAGGTCCTGAGAACCTAGTGCCTTTGAAAAGCAGGAAGGAGGCAGGGTGCTTGGAGGAATGAGCAAATGAGATTCAAGACATGCTAAGTTGGCCAGGGTGGGGCGTGACCCTCATGGGGCCCCGGGGAGGGTGAGGGGTTCCTGTGGCAGCGATGCCTGAGGGAGTAGGGACCAAGGGCAGAGCAGCTGGCAGCCCCACCCTGCTGGTGGACTTTGCCTCTCAGGTGGCCGAGGACATGTGCTACCTGCAGTCACAGAACTATGTCCACCGGGCCCTGGCCACCAGGAACATCCTTGTGGGCGCCCACAACGTCTGCAAAGTGGGTGACTTTGGGCTAGCCAGACTCCTCCAGGTAGGGCCCAGGGTGTGAGGCGGGGGTGCAGGGTGTCCTCTGTGCCTGGAGCTGGGGTGTCTGGGCTTGCCTGCCTTCAGCCTCGGGGAGGCCGGAGGGCGAGATACAGGGCTCCGGGGCCAGAGCTGTGCCGCAATGGGGAGTGGAGGCTTCCCGGAGGGCTCCAAGGCTGGAAGGGAGGCGTCTGCCCTCGCAGGGGTGCAGGAGGAAAGGGAGGCCGCACACGGGCAGGGCGGCTGGGGAGGTGGGTGTGCCTGTGCTCACTGATTTGGGCGGCCTGCCTCGCCTGTGTGATGGGGGCAGAGGCTGGGGAGCCTCGTGCGCTCGGGGGAGACATCTTCCCCACCCGCCCCGCACACAGAAGACAGGAGTGGACAGAATGATGTCCTGAGCGCTCTGTCCCCATCAGACCCTCCAGGTAGGCCCCCACTCCTTCCATGAGGTTAGACCCAAGTCCCCGTGTGCACACTTCAGTATTTCAGCCACAATCACATTTCTGACACTTAACGGGGATCTTACAGTCATCACGTGCTTCCTTAGAGCTGTTTCCAACTTCCTGAAAGCCCCGAAGTCACCAACTCGCTCCTGGAGCAGACCAGGGTCACATGGGCTCGACGGCTTCTCTCGCTGTTCCCGGTGCCCTCTGCTCGGGGGCCCTGAGAGCAGGCGTCTGGGGCCCTTGGCTCCGGGGCGGCTGTCCGGATGCCGCAGTTCCTTCCTCATCGTGAGCTGGTTGCTTCTAGAACAGCGATTCCCTCAGCACTCGGTGGCAGCCAGGAAGGGAGGCTGAGCGTGATTCCCCCAGGCTGTCCAGCGTGTCAGGGGAGCTGCGGGCAGCTGTGTGAAGCAGCTAGCGTGCCCACGGGGCTACCATGGCAGTCACAGACCGAGCATATGCTCATATGGGCCCACCCCCGGGACTGTGACACCACGTGGGGACCCGAGCATGTGCATTCCAGACCTGACCTGCCCCGCCCCCCGCCCCTCGCCCTGAATCGGAGGGGAAGCTGCACCCGCTCTAGTGGCACTGTGCTGGTCGTCGGTGCCTGAGCTGCACTGGCCCCCCATGAACCCCAGCTCCCCGCGCATGGCCAGGGCAGGGGTGGGGTGTGGGCAGCTGCCGAGGCCCACCCAGCGCGTGTCCACTTGCAGGAGGACATCTGCGTTTCCCACAACTGCAACATCCCCTACAAGTGGACCGCCCCGAGACCCTCTCCCAAGGGCTTTACTCCATCAGATCTGGTGTCTGGTGCTTCAGGATTCTTCTCCATGAGATTTTCAGTCGGGGTCAGATATCCTATCCAGGTACTGGGCCCCTGACAGCATCCCCGATGGTGGACAGGGCGGGACGGTGCCATCACCTGACTTGGCACCTGCACAGCCAGCCTCCCAGGGTGGCACTCCGGGGGCATCCGTGCACAGGGGGGCAGCAGGCAGGAGCTCAGCCCAGGGTTTCCTGGGAGGGGGTAGAGGGCAGCGTGGTGTCCTAGGGGCGAGGAGAGGCTCGCTGGGCACCAGCTTCCAGCCCCTGCAGCCCCTCTGGCCGTCCCGCCACAGGCACATCCAGCCACGAGGCCTTCCTGAGGGTGGAGTTGGGCTACCGCATGCCCTGTCCCCTGGAGTGCCCAGCCGCCGCACACAAGCTAACGCTCTCATGCTGGCACAGGGACCCCGAGCACCGGCCCTGCTTCCAAGCCCTGCGGGAGAAGCTCTCCAGTGTCAGCAGGTACGAGAACCCGCTCTGAGGGGGACGGCCTCCCTGCTGCCACCGAGGAAGGCCACCAGGCCAGGTCCTGTGAAGATGGGCCCAGCGCCGTCCTGGACCTCCCATCAGGAGGACGGGCCCACTGAAGGTGCTGACAGGTCCAGAACTGGGCTGGACACCGGGGGGCCCGCCCTCTCCTGGGGCGGGGAAGCCTGCCCTCTGCAGCCAGGGAGCTGAGGCTGCCCGTCCTCCTGTCTGCTCCCGAGACACCAGCTCCTGCCAAGTGCCAGGGCCCGCCACGGTCAACTCCAACTTGAACTCTCCAGAAGCCTGACGACCCTCCTTTCTAAAGGGAGTGGTGCTGTTGCTAGTCCTGGACTAAAGCCCACCCGCTCAGTCAGGACCTCCTCAGGTGGTACATGGGAGGGATCTGGGCTTTGGCTAGGCTCACCCTATGCCACCCAGCCCATGCCAATCTCCTCACTTGGGGGAAACACAGACTGCCCGGCACTCTGTGAAGATGGGCTGTTTGCTGGTGGGGCACTGCTGTCTCCTGCCTGCGGCCGTGGCTATCAGCAGCTGCCCACACGAGCTCTGAGGGACTCATCTGGACACTGGGGAGGCTGGCTAGTGCTCAGGCCAGATTCTGGGGCACCACTCCACTCTGGGTCCATCTGGAGTGTCGGGAAGGTGGACCTCCTCCACCCATCCTCCTGCCTGGACACAACAGGGGCAGACAGGATGGTGGCTGCAGCCCTAGGGCCCACGAGTTCCGCTGATGCCTTGGACTGGATCTGCACAGCTGTTTACAGCACGCACCCGGGGAAGACCAGCAGGAGGGGAGCCGGGCTCCCCTGATCTCATACTAAGCCCCCTTCCCCTAACCACCAGACCTGGGTCAAGCCCTGCTGGCCACTAAGCGAGTGTGGACACTGTCAGCCCACCAAGCATGCCTGCCCGAGGAGGTGGGTGGAGAATGGCACAACCACAGCCTCCCCAGGTCCCTGGTTAGTCTGTCCAGAGCCAGGTTACCTGTGGTGAGACAGTCCCTCTGGAATACCCCCACACCCCTTACCACTCGGTGTTAATTTCTGGTCCCTGTGTCTCGGGGTGGGGGGGGGAGGGCTGACCAGAATTTGTCCTACAACGGGCTGGAAGAGGCAGAACTGTTCTAGGAAGGCACCTGGAGATAGCATGGCCCAGTGGGCTGCTCCACACCAGCTGGGACAGCCTTGGTCCTGTTCCCTTACTGCCCTCCCTGGTGTCAAGAGTGGCGGGGAGCACTAGGTCCCTCTCATTGGGGGCTCCTGAACCCAGTGGCAGGAGCCAAGTCTGAGGACCTGAACCTCAGCAGCTGCCCTGGAGGCTTCTCCTAGGAACTACCTGTGCCCCCAGGCTCTGGGGGAGCCCCCCCCCCCATCCGTACTCCGCACTCGCCGAAGCGGCTTGCCCGCGTGAACCTGGGCCAGACCAACTTCCCGCCCTGCCGAGAAGTGAGGTGGGGAAGGGCTCCCAGGGCACGCAGCTCACACACACCATCAGGGCTACTGGCTGCTTGGAGTTTATTTTCCACATGGTGCGAGGCACAGGGTTCCAGGGTGTGTGGAAGGTTTGCGTGTGGCTTGGACGGTGAAGAGTGGGATTCTCTCAACTTCCTTTTTGGTGTTTTGCTATTTTGATATAAAACCTGACTGCTTCTGCCGCAGCAGCCGGCCTGGTCTATGAGAAGGGGGGGAGGGAAGGGGAGAGGCTCTGATGAGCGCAGCACCTCCCCAAGCCCGGCCTCGGCCCTCAGGATGGCGGCCCCACGTTGGCTTTGCCAGGCCGGCCACCAGGCTGCTTCCTTACGGCTTCCAGAGCTGAGTCGCTGGTGATGGTGCCGCTGGAGGCCTGGGGAGGCTCCGAGCTGGGGGAGAGCTTGTGGTCAGAGGCGACTTCCACCTGCCCCCATCTCCCGTGCTGGCCCCCAGGAACGTGTTCTCACCGTTCGGGGGACTCCAACACTGTAGCCATGAACGGGACGGTGGACTTCCCGAAGAAAAAGCTTGCCCACCAGTGGCCCGGGTCGGCCTTGGGGAGACCTGAGAGGAACAAAGGGGAGTCATGGTGCTGCTGCCTGCTCCTGGTGGGATCCCGCCCAGATGGTGCCACCAGGGGGAGTGGACCTGCACTCACCCGGGGGGTGAGGGATGGCTTCCCCAGCGCACTCCACACTTCCGCAGGAGCTGTTACTGGACGTGGAGCCCAGGCGGCCTGGAGAAGAGAGGCCCCGGTCAGCTCCGCAGGGCATCGCGACCCCTGCCCTGTCCACCAAGCGCCGGCTAGGCTGGCAGCACCCAGGCAGAGCCACAGGTCCCTAGCAGCCCTCCCCGCTCCCAGAGGAGGCCTGTAGGGCAGAGGGCGAGGGGCTTACTCACGCCGGTAGTAGTCGTGGGTGGCCACGAGCGAGCCGCTGGAGGGGATGGCGGCCATGCCGTCGCCTGTGGGCTGGTGGAAACCTGCGCACGCAGGGGTCGGGGCGCCACTCCGGTCACCCGCCGCCCCTCGGGAAGGGCGTTCCCCCCTCGGGCCGACCCGCCCCCATCCAGACGCCGGGGTCAGGGCCGCGGGCCAGATGGACCCGATGGGGTGGTTCCCGGAGCGCCAGCCCCGGCGGCGGCGCGGGTCCCGGGCGGCGCGAACTGGCCCGGCCGCAACAAAGGCGCTTTGTGCGCGGGGCCGCGGGCCTGGGGCTCCAGGAGGCGCCGGTCCGGCACGCGCGGCCGCCCCCACCCCGCGTCCCCGGCCGTCCGACCTTCGGTCCGCCCGTCGGTGGGTCCCGCCAGCCGCGGCGCCGGGGATCATCCCCCCGCCCCTCGGGCCACATGACCCCACTCACACGCTGCCAGGGGCCTCACCTCGGCGGCGACCCCTCGCGGGCCTCGGCGCGCGACCACAGGTGGCGGGGACGGGGACACTAGGCCACGGAGCCCATTTGCAGAAGAGACCGCCGTGGGCCGCTCAGCGACCGAAGCGCGCGGGGTGCGCACGCGCGGACGCGCCGGCTTGGATCGCGGCGCCGCGCTCGCGTCACGGAGGGCGGGAGCACCCCCGGCTCCGGCCAGGCCCCGCCCCCTCCTGGCCAGGCCCCAACCCCCGCCGACCAGGCCTCTCCCCGGCCCCCGCCCCGCCCCCCCCCCCCCCCCCCCGCCTCCCGCCTCCGCGAGGCCGGGTCCCGGACCCGCTCTCCTCCGCGCGTCCTGGTGGGGGCCGGCCCCACGGCATCAGTCCAAGCTGGGGCGGCCTGGCCTGGGATTGGGGTGATTAAATGACCCTCCTCCCAGGACCCGGAGCAGGGCTTATCCCGCCACCTCTCCTTCCCTAAAGGAGGCCTCGCTCCTGTCCCAGAACGAGGCTCCTTCGCCTTTCCGGGACTGCAGGTGGTCCACCCGGTCTCAACCTCTCCAGCCCTTCGGAGCCTGTGGGGGTAATGGACCCTGGCGCGGTAGGTCCAGCCTCTGCAGTGTCCCTCTCCTCTGCCTCCTCCCTTGGGGATGGAGCCTGTCCCACTCTCATCCAGGACAGACTGGGGCCTCTGGTCTGTGGGCCCCCAGCAGCATACCAGCGCCCCAGCCAGAGCTACCGTGCGTGCGCGCGTGGAGCCCTGCTGCCCTCTGGACTTCAAAGCAGGTGTCCCCTCCCCACGGTTCGGGGGAGGGGACTCCGGCCTCCAGCTTCAGCCTCCCTGCACCCAGCTGCCAGCCAGGCCCAGGCTGCAAGAGCGGGCAGGAGCGGGAGGGCAGCAGGGGCACAGAGGGAGGCTTCTTTGAACTGGCGGTTGTCAAGAGCGGCCCCCTCTTCGGGGCAACCCTGAAGTGTGTGGGGCCTTGCCGCACCTGGTCTGCAGATCGGGAGGACGACTTCCTTCTCTGGGTGGAGGTCAGCCCTCCCCACAGCCGCTCAGTCCCTTCTCACAGGCCCCAAGCCCCAGCCTCCCTCTGTACTCTAGGCCCTGGCTGGGGGGTCTCTTCCCTCGTGACGGGCGGGTGTTGAGATGTCCGCAGGGGCTTCCGGAAGAAGGCACGCGGAAGCTCTCATAACCTTTTCCACCGGGTCCTCCCTGTTTTCAAACCCCCTCAAGGATCCCTGCAGGATTCCTGGCCCCACTCCAACTTCTCACTCAGCAGAAGGGAAGTCAAGGCCTTGGGAGGGGAGGGCCTGGCAGTCCCTGGATAGGACCCTTCGTAGGGCTGGGTGAGGGTTGGGACTGTAGACTTCCTGACCGGGACTTGGCTTGGGCTGCAGTGTGGTCTAGGGCCCCTGAAGGGGAGCTCCTTCTCTACCTCCTTCATCTCTTACCGGTGGGCCAGTCCCCATTGCAAGGGTTCTCACCAGGGTGAGGGGGATCTCACACACGAGGGGGACAACCTGACTGGGCAGGATGGCCACAGGCACCTGCCAGCTGGCTCACGTTCTGCCTCTTCCCCAAAGCCTGCTTCACGCCTGGGGACCTTCCCCTCTCATTGACTCTCAGCACCTCTGGGCTGGCTTCCTGGCCCCCTTCAGGGGGCTAATTTGGGATCATGAACTAGGTGTGACTTTAGTGCAAATCGAATTTAATTCTTGAGGGACATCTGCCATCCCTGCCTCAGCCTTGCACTCACCCAACCTAGAGTCTGGTAGTGTGGGTCAAGTGCACCAAAGCCACACCATGGTGTTCCTGGCTCTCCGGGGCCCATGCTGGGGGGCAGCCATCTCTGCTCATGGCCCCTGGAGCCACCCACTGGGTGACAGCAGCCTCCCTCCTCTGGTCTCAGCTCTGGAGCCAGTCCCTGACCACATGCTAGCCTGAAGTGGCCAGCAGAGCCCCCTGCCCCCACTGGCCAGCATACACCCAGCGGGCTTGCCTGGTGCCTGTGTCTCTCCTGACTCAGCCTCCCCTGAGAAGCAGGACTGTGTGCTGGCAGCCTCTGGGCGCCATCCCCGAGCGAGGGGCAGCTTCCGGTGGGCTTAAATCGTGATGGGATTTGGTGTGTGGGTTCACAAAACTGTGGGGGAAATTGAGGCCAACAGCCCCTGCCTTTACTGCCCAGTAAGGAACAGAGAGTCAGGCAGGGATGCTGGAGACGGGTGTCAGAGTGAGACGTGGGGAGGGGCTCTCGTGCCACTGGGAGGACGGGGCTGGCCCTGACTCAGACCTTGTGCCGTTGTGACACTTGGTACGTGGGTTTGTTGAGCATGTGCCGTGAGCCATGGCTCAGCCGGACAGTCAGGAGCTCCTTGAAGCGGAAGGGCCGGTCCAGAGGGCAGGGACCCCACTTGGTGAGACAAGACAGCAGGGGTCCGAGGTAGGTGGAGAAGCGGGGGAAGGACAAGCAGGGAAGCCAGTAGAGCCTGGGATGGGGGGGGTGCAGTGGCAGGGCCTGAGCCTGGAGAGGTAGGCGGGCCTGCTGGGGCCGCTGAGGTCACTTAGAAGGCAGATGGGTCAGTGCTGTTGACCCCAGGAGGGAGGAACATTCTGGTAAGAACCAGGTTTGTTGGGACCCTGGGATCCTGGGTGGTTCAGTTGGTTAAGCAACTGCCTTTGGCTCAGGTCATGATCCTGGAGTCCCAGGATCGAGTCCCGCATCAGGCTCTCTGCTCAGCAGGGGGTCTGCTTCTCCCTTTGACCCTCACCCCTCTCACATGCTCTCTCTTTCACTCTTTCTCTCTAATAAATAAATAAATAACAAATAATAATAAATGAATAAATAAATAAAATCTTAAAAAAAAAAACAAACCAGGCTTGTTCCTCTCGGAAGGACCCTCAGCCATGGGGCTCTGCCCCTTTCCTAGACCCCCTTGTCCCTGCGGTCCTTGGCTGAGTGTGTGGGTGCCTTGTGGTGTGTCTCCCCCGTGCCTCATACAGGACGGTGGTTTCCGGGCCCAAAGCTTGAGAGGTCAGCTTGAGGGCCACCAGGGCCTTGGACAGCTCACAGGGCCAGGAAGGGGGCTTGGGCTTGCGGCCAGATCACAGTCTCTGAGGCAGTGGGGTGCCCGCTCTGAATCCGGGCATGGTGGTTACAAGGGGCACAGTTTGGGGGTGGGGGGTCAGTGGGGGCTGATGTCATCCCTGGGGGCCTGGGTGGGTGGAAGAGTGCTCCCCGGGGGTGGGGAGAGCAGTAGTAGGAGCAGGAGGACAGCTGGGACTTGGGGGCTGCCCAAGGATGGGGCCAGCTGAGGGCTGCCAGGGCTTCTGAGGCAAGGGGCTGGGGGCTGGAGGCCAGTCTGGCCTTGCTGTTGGGCTTCCTGGCTGGGACCTAGCTCTCTGTTCATCTGGAGCTGATGGGAAGCCCACCATGTGCCAGGCAGTGCGAGGCCCGTGTACGTAGAGGTGGGCGGGTGGACAGCCGGGCCGCCCCCCAGCTCAGTCCCTGGAGGTGGAGAAGGTGCTGTGGCAGCCCCGGGGCTGGGAGGTGCAGGGGCCCTGGCCCCCAGATCCCAGGCACGCTGGGCTCTAGGTGTGTGTTGGGTGGGTAGAAACTCTGTCCTGCCTCCAGGTAGGGAGCAGTGGGCGAGATGTCCCAGTGACTCCCCAGAGCGGGCACATCAGGCAGAGCACCCACTCCTTGCAGCCCACGCAGGGCTGCCCCGTGGTGTCAAAGCCCCTCCTTGCGCTGGGCTCACAAGCAGAGCTCGGTCCCCGGGAGAGCCCTGCTGCCACAGCGTCTGCCCCTGGGCCCCTGGGTGTGGAAGGTTCAGGGAGAAGTATGGAGGGGCCTGGCGGTTGGGGTCCTGACACCTTCCTCCAGAGCCCCATCCCGGGCAGAAGCTTCGGATGCTCACAGCAGAGATCCAGAGGAATCCGCGGGCCGGGCCTCTCTCGTCTGGGGCTGTGACTTCCTGAGGTTTTCTCCCTCTTCCACATTTGAGAACCTGTCCTACAACCACGTGGAGGCAATCCGTTTGGTGCTCTGCCGGTGGGCTGGATGGAATTTGGTTCCGTTCACACTGGTGCTCTCACTCCCGTCTGCCAGGCCCTTCCTCAGCCTGCTCAGGCCACACGACACACTCCCCTGCCCCCAACCCCCGGCTGGGTGCAGACATGTGCCGGCTGTGGGCACTAAGCAGAGCCCCGGCCGTGCTGAGGGTCCCCTGTGGTAGGCCATTTCTGGCAGCCTGGGCAGGCGAGGCACCTGGCCTCAGCCTGGCTGTGGCCTTCTCCCATCTGGGGCTCCCTCGTGGGGAAGTATCCCAGGCCAGGGTCTCAGGCCAGGGTCTCAGGAGCAGGCACTGGGACAGAGACTGAGACACACAGTGTGTGTCTTTGGGAGGGAGCTGGGGGGGGGGCGATGGGGCCCGTGGGGAGCCTTGGAGCGAGAGGGCACACCGGGGGTGACCTGCTTAGGCTCAGCTGGGAGGGCCTTTGGCTCCTGTCACTCAGAGCCAGAGCAGTTCCCCAGGGGAGGAAGTCCCGGGGTAAGGCTGCTCTGTGGCGAGTCCAGCCCTGAAGGAGTGGGCTGCGAGGGCTGTCGGCCGCCATCCCCGGCCAGGCGAGCCCTTCCTTCCAGGAGCACGTCTCGGGGCTGCGCAACCCGCGGAGCCGGCCCCACACAAGCTGCCAGGTCCGCAGCCTCCCGTTCTCTTCAAGGACAGAGAATGGGAAAGGAGGTGACTTTTCTTTCCAGCGTCAACATAAAAACTGCATTTACTAAGCCAGGAGCCTGGGGATACCAGTCCTGCCCCCCACCTGCAGGGTCAGAAGTCTCCTTCCTGAGGGGCAGCAGCTGCCAGCTTCCCTGGCACGAGCCTCTGTAGGTGACGTCACCATCTGCAGAGGAAAATAAAGCTCCTGAGTACTATTTGGTGAGCGCTTACTACATGGGGGCCTTCGTGTGGCCAGACGATGTCCTGGGGGCAGTGGCCAGGCAGAGCCTGGTTCACGGGCGACGTCGAGGTTAAGACACTTCATGTAAATGAGCAGAGCAGGACCGAGCACGGAGCGGGTGCTCAGCCGGAGGTGCCCACGGGCTTCGCTAACAGTGCTTTTCACCGCTGCAAACACCAAATATCTTTCCTA